TAAGCTTAGTGGTCAGATAAAACTGGATAGAGATCTCCTTAAATACCAGAAACCACAAACCTCTGATGTGTGGTGCTTTTGCTAGAAGTTTCTGTGTGCAGACTGGGTTACATCTTCGGGGTTCAGGAAGGCAGTTTGTAACTGTCTTCACTTCCTGCTTGTGCGGAGCCTCAAGGGCATTGTGAGGAGATAGCTCAGCCTCCTCAGGTCTTTCCTGAGCATGTGCACAGCCCTGCATGTGTGCCAGCTGCCATGAACATGCCAGAGCTTTTCAAAGCTCCTTATGGACATACCATTCCCCAGCTTTCCCTTTAAAGGCTTCTCCCACCCCCAGCTTTTTGTTTGCCTCAACTGTTAGTACAGCCTCAGGCAGCTGCAATGCTTTAAAAAAAAAAATTACCACTGATTTCCCTACCCACCCTTGTGGTGCTGGGAATTGAACCAGGGCCACATGCTAAATAGACACTGAGATATTCTTCAACTCTAGCCACTGATCATTTCTGACATGCTCTCAGGAAAAAAAAAAAAAAAAAAAAAAAAAGTTGCTCCCACTAAGGGAATTCTGAGGCCAGATTAAGCCAAGTCTCACAAGTGGGGTTTTTTAGGAGTCTGCCAGACAGGTCAAATGACAACTGCAAATAGAACTTTGTAGGATCTCCAACCTCATTCTGTTCCCTACAGTGATTTCTAGGCTACTGGTTTTCACCATGATTTCAGGTGGCCACAGGATGGGTAGACTGCTGATGGGCTGTGGCTGCTTTCAGAACATAACCTTTCCACAAGTGACATTCTCTCCTAGCCTGATCCCCCCACCCATCCTACCTAAATCTCACCCCGTGCTTAACTACTAGCTCCACTTCCATAGCCTCCTGGAGCTTCCTTTGAGCAGCCCACAGTCCATCTCCTGCTGATCACCACCCATGTCACTCACTCATTTGGATTCACCTCTAATGTGCATGCCTTGTCTCTCTAGCCAGATCATCTGTAATCCCAGCCGAATAAATGTTAAATGCTGAGGCAAACTGGTAAGACACATTGCAAGTGCATATCATTTGACTTAGCAATTCCACATTCAAGAGTTTGCCCTATGAAAATAATCAGCAAAATGTACAAAGAAATCTAAGTATGTTAACTTTGGTGGTATGTAGAATGACAAATTAAAAAGCCTAAATGTTCAATAATAGAAACTGGTTACAATAAGGAACACAGCTGAAATAATGAAGCAAACATTCACCTATTCAATGAAAGGATGCCAGTGATAGTTTTCTACACCACAAGGGCATGTCAAGAATACTGGGTGCCATTTCTAAAAACAATTCCATCACCTCTGCCACCAGCTGCACTCATAAATTCCCAAATAGAACTTTGTGAGGGCAGAAAATACACATATATTTGAAAAGAGTTTTAAACGAAAATGCCAACTGATTATCTCTCTCCAGTAGGGTTTCCTTTTCCTCTGAACACTTTCTGTATGGTTTTACAGAAGTGAGCAATTCTTAAACTCTTAATTTATTGACTTTTTTCTTTTAGAAATCAAAGTATTTGCCCACACAAGCACACCACTCCTGTCCACTGTTTTAAAAATTGTGGTGAAATCCACTGAAGATAAAATTCACCCTCCCTTGCTTAAGCTCTTTTCTCCTCTGAATCTAATTAACATAGAGCATTACTGCTCTTGAGCTGCCACATTCAGAAATGTCCCAATTTCTATTACAGAGGATAAGGAGTTTTAATTTAATTATACAATGTTCATCCTTTCTCTCTACTCAATCGTTTCAGCTCAATTTTGTGTTAAACTCACATTCCACAAGATTAAAGTTAAGCATATGCCATTTATCATGAGCCACTTCTCTCCAGTATAGACCCTGTTTCCTGGACACCAAGTCATTTTTTCTTCAACGTATTCCCTCTCTCTTTTGGGTGGAGCACATGCTCTATAACTTCTAGAAAAAGGAAGTGGGGGAAGTCAATTCATCTGTGACTCTGCAGAGCTGAAACAAGTTTTTTCTGCCCTCACATTCCACTCACAGTCTGCTTGGACAGAAAATTCTAGGTTGAAGATATAATTAAAGGTGTTGCTGCCTGTCTGTCTTCAAGTTTCCAATGTGACTCAGGAGTTCCATGTTAGTTTTATTCCTAACTATAAATACAGTTTTTTCCTCCAGAAGTTTTTTGGATCTTCATTTAATTCCTGTGTTCTGAAATTTCACCATGATGCATGCCTTTTTCAATCATTGTTCTCGGTTTTGTGAGGCATTTTAACCTAGAAACACATTCTTCAGTTCTCAGAATTCTTATATTATTTCTTGGTAATTTCCTCCCTTGCATTCTTTTCTATTTTCTCTTTTAAATGTTAGACTTCCTGCATTTGCTCTCTAATTTCCTACTTTCATCTTCTCTCCCATCTCCTACTTTGCTTTTAAAATTTTGTTTTCTGGGAGAATTCTTTGCACATCTACAATTTCTAAACTTTATCTGTCATATTTAAAATGTTAAGGACTGATCTTGTTCATCATTTGCTATTCTTTTTTATCATATCCTGTTGGTGGATACAATACCTTCTCTTGAGAATATAAATTGTAATTTCTTTCATGTTTTCTTCTACTTCTGAACCATCTCTGTTTCTTCCAAGTTCTATTTTTTTCTTTCATTTGTAGGCCTCCCACACAGGTCTTTCATTTTGTTTTAAATAAATTTTGAGCTACAATTTTTAAGTTAAAAGTACCCATTTTAAGTGTACAGTTCATTAAGTTTTGGGAAGCATCCATGCCCATACAATTACACCACTATTAAGATATAGAACACTTCCGTCACCCCAAAAAGGGGTTCCTTCTCTTTTTCCAGTCAGTCCTAACCCCATCCCAACAACCACTAACCTGCTTCCTCTCACTACAGGTCAACCTTCCTTGAGGTTCTTGCGGATGGGACCACACCACATGCAGCTTCTGTGTACTGCTTCCAGCTTTTGTTGTGCACAATGCTTTCAAGATTCGCCCAGGTGCTTATACGTATCAGCCACGCAATCCTTTTCCTTCCTGGATGAGATTCCTCCCATAACTAACTATTTCACAGAGTTGAGTTTCCTGCTGATGGACATCTGAGGTGTCTCCAGTGTAGGCTATTATGAACTGAACCACAGTGAACACTCAAGCACACATCTTTGCATGGACAAATGTCCACATTTTTAAGAATGGGGCACTGAAGGCCAAGTGATGCTGAGTGTGGAGCTGCTCAGCATGCCTGCTTTAGGTTAGGGTCCAGAAAGCAGTATGTCTGTCTCTTTGGGAGGAGTGGATGAGGATGAGAGCAAAGTTGACAAGTGGAAGGAGCTTGTTATTCAGTAAAGTGTTCCACTTACTCCTGGCTTCCTCTGGCTTAGCATCCTATCTCCTCTGGGCTGGTGTACCTGGCCTGGAGCCCCTGCTTCTGAGTTTCTTGAGGAAAAAAATCCTCTAGTCTCTGCCTGGCTGATGGGACTTAAGAGGAACCTGAGCCCAAACTCTGATCTATAACAAGGGGGTATATGGAAATATTCACTGTGCTAGCTAAAACCAAAAGTCTGTGAATAACTTTTGCAATTTGTAAAAAGCAAGAAAGTCCTCCTAAGGTGGTGAGCAGGAGTATGGAATTCCAGCAGGGTTATGGCTGCATCCCCAGATCTCTCACCCCAGAATGTAGCCCAGCACTCAATGTCCACTGCAGACCAGCCAGCAAGTCAAGGCTGGGGAGACCCTCCGAACATGTTAAGGAAGGTAAATCTGAAATGGTAACATTTTCTGAATTTACTATTAATTTAATAATGCTTCACTTTTATTTTTATGAGTTTTGCAATTTGTCCAAGTCTTTTCAGGAGGGGAGGGGAGTTTAACTGCCTTGATCTTCTTGGCTCTCAAATGAACACCAGCAACCCCAAGCAGCACGTGAGGAAACTGGGTCAGCAAGGTCAAGTGGCAGGCTCAAGGACATGCAACTTGTTTGGCACAGTCAGAACTAGAATTCAGGTCACCTGACTCTCCAGAAGTGCCTCTTTAATGTCACATTACCTCCTGGACATCACTGCTGAGCCAACAACCAATGCTGACTATCACCAAGAGCTGGGGGAGAGAGGAGCTCTGGCCCTGGCCCTCGACTCTGTACATTCTAACCCATTTTGGGGGAAGGAGGTTGGGATTAAACCCAGAGGTACTTTACCATTGAACTATCTCCCCAGTCCCTTTTAAAATTTTTATTTTTTATTTTGAGACAGGGTCTCACTAAGTTGCTGAAGCTGACCTCAAACTTGTGAACCTCTTGTCTCTGCCTCCCAAATTGCTGGGATTACAGATGTGTGCCACTACACCCAGCTCCCACCCACTTTTTCTGACTCTCACTGAGAGGAACAGCAGGCAGATGTCATCATCACCTTCTGCAGTATAGGGAATCGAAGGATATAGAACTAAACTCTTCTGGCCAGGGGCAGAAATTAGAGCCCTAAGCCCAGTTTTCTTACTCCTCCCCTCTCCCAAGAATAGGAGGAGGGGAGAGAGTCTCTGCAGCAGCTCTGAGGCACTCACTTCCCTGTCCCCTGGCCATGCCAGGACTGCCAGAGCACTTCCCAGACAGGAAGTTTCTGAGGAGACCATAGCCCTGTGGGCCTCTGAGATTCCTTCCAGCCTCATCCTAGAAACACCTCTGCAGAGGTGGCAATAGCAGCAAGTTCTTAGAGACAAACCTGTGCCCGTGGTAGGATTTGTGGTTTTGTTTTTAAGAAACATACTTTTCAAAACAAAACAAGCCGGGCGTGGTGGGGCACACCTGTATTCCCAGCAGCTCAGGAGGCTAAGACAGGAGGATAGAGTTCAAAGCCAGCCTCAGCAACAGCAAGGTGCTAAGCAACTCAATGAGATCCTGTCTTAACACAAAATACAAAATAGGGCTGGGGATATGGCTCAGTGGTCAAGTGTCCCTGAGTTCAATCCCCAGTACCCACCCTGCCCCCCAGAAATTAAAATGATACCTACCTAGGCTGAATTCTAAAATGGGTTCATCTGGATCTTGTATGTTTCCTGAATAGAAATGAAAGAAAAAAATCACCTTTATTAAATCTTTCCTTGCTTTTTTAGATTTAATACAATAAAATCTACCACTCTACTTCTTCCCACACCCAACCCCCAGTTATTATAGGAAATTATTTCTTTGCTTTCTAAACATTTTACTTTTGAGAAGCCTCAGGTTCTAAGACCACAATGCCCCTCCTTCTGGGGTCCACATGCCCACAATGCAGAGGGTTTGTCACAGCCAGGTACGTACTATGGACATTCCTATATCATCTATTGGCAAATGGGCCCCAAAGAGGCCCACTTAAACTGGAAAAGATGACGATCAGGATCTAGCAGAGCACCTCCCAGGGGGAGGGTTGACTGTCCCTCCCAATTTCCTAGATCAATCATAAGAAAGCCACAGCAGAGCACCCTCCCCATTCTTCCCGTCCATCCTATGCCCAGGAGGCAGGCTTGGACAGTGTGGGCCCTACATGCTGAGAACTCATACCAGGGGCCCTGGGCAGACCCTGCGAGGCTCACCTGCCAGAGACAGGCCCAGCATGTCGGCTGCCACATCAATGGTGGAAGCCCGTTGCATTGCACGGGCCCTTGCGCCATGGCGAGGGCTGTGCTCTCTTGCTGTCATGATGTCATTTGTGAGGATGTGCTTCTTGTTCCTGGGTCAGACCACACCTGATTCCCCAGGAAGCAATGTCACCAAGTCCTAGTCTCCTAAGGTGGCAGAAGCCCTGAGAAATAGAAGCAAACACTGGTAAGAAGCCAGAAGGATGGTGACTGCAAGGCACTATGGAGAAAGAACAAGACCTAACGTGGGCAAGAGCAGTAACCAGGGTCCTCTGGCAGATAAAGCACTGGGGTGGCATACCCGCTGCTCTCAGCCCATCTAATTACTACTTCTCCCCTCCACTCCCCCAACACGGTGCACCCATGGATTCCCATAAAGAAAACATGTTCTTTTCAACAGATATGCCACAATAAATGATGTGACTTATGTGCTCATACAAATGGCTTTTGCCACATCCAGTGGCACATGTCTATAACCCCAGATACTCAAGAAGCTGAAGCAGGAAGATCAAAAGTTCAAGGCGAGCCTTGGCAACTTAGTGAGACCCTGTCTCAAAATTAAAAAATAAAAAGGACCAGGGATACAGCTCAGTGCTAGAGCATCCTGGAATCAATCCCCAGTATCACAAAAAATAAAAATAAATAAATAAGGCTTTTGAGATTTTTCTTGTTGCTTTATTATGCTCTCCTATAGGCAAGTCTTACAGATCCTTTATAATCTCCAATCAGTTCACCCCTGCTTGGATAGGGACAAGAGCTGCGTGAGAGGCCTGCAGTCCACGGGCACAGAAGAACTCTGGAGGTACAAAACTCAGGTCTCTAATCTACTTTTCTGCTTCTCTGAGCTAAACAAACTCCTGTGTGTCTTGGTCTCAGGCTCTGTTTCCCACAAAGCACCAAGTGGTAATCTGCGCCTAACTGAAGGGGAAAGTGCTGAGGTGAGATGGCGCAGGGGGAACTGCCGCCACAGGCTGAGTCAGACAGAGACTGCCCTGGTGCAGCACAGGGCTCACACTCCACTCCCAGAAGTAGGTTAAGCAGAGAGAATGGGGTGTCGGGGTTATCCAACCTATGTCCTACAACTCCTGCTGGATCCAGAGGAGCCAATCTTTGTAAGTCAAGATAATGAGGCTAAGTCATAAGGCTGTTAAAAACATCCTCTTGAATGTCTCCACACATCCAGGGAGACGCATCTTCCCACGGGTTTCTATGACTCTGTACCTGAAGGACCTGGGCTTCTTCTCTTGACTCAAATTCAAGTGACTTACTGGACATGTTTGCTTTTGGACCACGTGGCATTTCTTCATAGAAGATCATCCAAATCCATCATCTAAAAACAGAAAAGCAGAAACTTGATGAGCTGATCAATCTGAAGCTCCTGAGAACACAAAGCCTAGAAAAGTGGAGAGCCAAGAGCTACTCCATGTTGTTTGAGCTCTATACCCCAATCTAACTTTTGGCTCAAAAACACAAGTCTTGCTCAAACCTAAAAGAATAAGAAATAAAAAGTGCCCACTCCTTCCCCCAGCTGCCAAGGGGTAATCTGTTGGGGGAGTCTGGGCCTGCCCTTCAGAGCCAAGTGAGCAGTTGAGTGGGTTTAGGAAAAACACGGAGATGTGAATCTGAGTCCGAGCTTTGCTGCTCACAAAACTAGACCCCAGGAGAACCCTTAGAGGCTATGCCTTTTGGCGCTGAAGATAAGACTAGTTGTACATGTCACATAGGGCTGCAGCTGAAAACCAAATAAATATGTGAGAAGAGGACTCCACTGAACCTTCCTCTGCCCCTGCTGCTGTTGCCTGGTTCCCAGAAGGAAGTGCCAGGCCCCACTCAGGACCCAGGGCCCAGCTCATGAGCTACCTGAAAAGTCCCAGGTTCTGGGAAGGGGAAGACAACAAGAAAAGTATGCTCAGCCCTCAGGCAGACTGTTTCTGGCCCCTATCTCTTCCACTGGGGATGCCCAGGGGCCCTCAGCTAGGCACCTCAGCAACCTCAGTACAGAGCCTTGGCCTGGCAGGGGAGCCACTGTAGAAATCACTAAGGGAAAGATTCACTGTTTTGTTGGTTTAATCACAGCCAGGCATGCAGGTACAGTCAAAAGGTTTACGGGGGCTGGGAATGAAGCTCAGTGTAGAGGGCTTTCTTAGCATATACAAGGTCCTGAGTTTGATCCCCAGTATCCTGGCCCATCCCCACCCCCACACAAAGGTGTACAAGCCAAAAAAAAATTCAGTACAAACTGTGCAGCTGTACAACTATAGTACTAAAACCTGCATTTTACAGTAATGCTGTTATAAATGAACAAAAATTCACTAATAATGCAAATGGCAAGTGGTATGAACTCATGAAAGATGAATACACATGGTAAATATTCTGGAAAAGAGACCAAACTCTATAATAATGAAAGCAATGCTAAATACACCTATCTTCACCTAAATTAGTGGAGGTTTATCTGTTCATCTAATGAAAACACATGTTGCTAGTGGACCTGGGGGACACTGCACAGGGCTCTCCTATACTCAGGTCACATTTTAAAGTTGTATAAGCATTTCAGAAAACAAATCTTCAAAATTTATAAGTGATAACAATATTTGTAAGTGATACAAGATTTGTAAGCAATAACAAGATTCTTGCCAATAATACAAAATATGTAACGGACTACTGAACAGAGACACCTGTAGCATTACTTCTAATGACAAAGACCAGCTATCAGTATGTATGTTCTGGAGAAACCATAAGATATGCTATTTATTATACAGCTGCTAAAATGATCCTAATAAAGCCCATAAACACATGAGAAGTTCTTCAACCTCATGTGTCATCAGGGAATGCAAAATGAAACCATGAGCTACCCCTGAACACCCACTAGAGGAGCTTCAAGGGAAAGAGTGGGCAGAGCCAAGTGCTGGCAAGGATGTGGGATGGTAACTGCCCCTGACGTAGCTGGTGCAGCAGAAGCAGTGTGGCCACTCTGGAAACCTGGCCATCTCTCTGCAAGCCGTGCATCTGCCTCTCCCATGACCCAAGACACCACTCAGGGTGCAACAGCTAACAGAAATGCACACTTATGTCCACCAAAACAAATGTGTGCAGAACATTTAGAGCAGTGACAGCCTTAACTGATAGTAAGATCCCAGAGATAATCCACACCCTAATCAACAGCAGGATGGAACAACGTGGATGAACTTTGGAGACAGTGTCATGGGGAAAGCCAAGCACACAAAGCTGGCTCTAGGCAGGGCTGCCTGTGCGGGGTGCCCCCAGGCATGGAATCCGTGAGTGAGGAGTCAGCAGAGGGCTTTCCACTGGGAAGGGCTAGTGGGGCTCTGATAACACCCTCTTTCTTGGTTTGGGGTCTGGTTCCCTGAGTGACTACACTGAAGATTCACTGAGCTGTGCATGAGTGGGTTTTGCACCTCAATAAAAAGTGCATTTAATTCCTCTACTAACTATAATAAAGACAACACAGCATGAACAAACGCTGATGTGGGCTCTGCGTATCAGGTGTGCTTTAATGAACTATTCCACCTGCGCTCTGGTCACAGCTGTTTAAAGAGCAATGACCCAGAGGGAAGGAGCCCCAGGGAGACCACACTGAGACACTGGCCGTGTCTGGGGTGATCTTGGGGTGTTTTCTGTCTTCCTGTACCTCATCCTTGTGCATCATGGAAGGGTGCACCCTATGCTGACCCACTGGGTGTGACTGTGGTGTGAGGGAAGAGTTCCTGCCTCTTGACCCTTTTCCCAGTGTGCCTCCAACATTCCATCACCTGCCCCACTGCCCTGCTCAGTTTGGGACTGAAGGAGCCAGGGAGACACTTTGAGTGGGACAGCAGAGACACATCACCTAACCGAGGGCCTCATCTGTACCCCACCATCTTGCCAGTCCTTGGGGGCTCCACTTTTATCCCCTTCTCCTCCTCCAGCTGGGTCCCTGCACATTTTTACATTATTATAGGTGTGGTGGCGTCTCTGGAAATAGAAATCCTTCGAGTAGAACATCTACAGACTAATTTTACACTAGATCATGGGTCAGAGAAACTTTTAGGTCAAAAATACTTCAGAAGCCACTTCATAGTTATTTGGGGGCATTTAATTAGAATCTGCAATTGAAGTCACCAAGACCCAGAACGTGAAGCTAATTTGCACAGCTGAACTCGATTTTCCTTCTTGGTCTCATTAACTTCAGATAATTCACCAAGGACTCCTGAATTCCCAAAGCCCATGTTTTCCTTCCCAGCTTCATCTGAAGATCAGACAAAGCTCATTAGGAGGAAGAAAAAAACGGGGCTTAACTCAGGGAGCACAGAGAGAATGTTGGAGTTGTTTGGGGGGCTGAAATTTCTTCTTGGGGGCAAGAAAGCAGCAACTGATCATGAAATTCATGCCCCCTTTCCCCACTCTGGAAATACGGGACCCCTTTCAGCAAGAGAACACATGTCATCAAATGGATAGCAAACCCTGAGGTCCCTCCCACCAAGGTCCCCTCTCCTAGGCAATGCTGACAAGGGATCCTGGTGAGTCAGAGTGATGTGGGGCTCCATACAGGGAGTAGGATTCGTTAGTGTTGGCAAGGACTCTCAGAAGCGTCTAAGGAACCAGGCTTGGGAAGGAACTTAGGAATCTCAGGCCATGAAGGAGTCTGAGAGGCCCCTGGACTTCAGTGGCCTTTCAGGGGCTGCTGAGATAGTACTGAGGATGGGGATGAACCATAAGAACTCCACTTTGGTCCATCTTATACACTGGCATTCTTCTGAAAATAATCTTCAAAAGAAGTTGCAAAGATGAGATTGCACAAGTACAGACAGGTGATTTTTCTCAAGGTCACCTGGAGGTGAAGAATGAACTACCAGAATCCACGTAAAGCAAAAAGCCCAAATATGACTGGGGCTCCTCTGCTGCCCCGCCCAGCCCTTTGCTTAACTTGTGGCAGCAAACAAGCCAAGAACCTTCCCTGTGCCCCCACTGTGCACACACAGGCAGAGTACAAACACAGGGACAGACAGGACCATGAAAAGTATGAGAGTCAGTGTGAGTCAGCGGCCCCTGAGGGAGAGCTACTTTAGGAAGTGGAAAGAAGAGGAACTTTCTCTCAAAAGCTGGAATCCAGGATAGCTGATATCACTGCTCGATGAGGTGTCTCACCACTCATGGGCACCCAAAATTACTATTATAACAACCTAAGATGACAAATGTCTCCTTCCTCCAGGAAGCCTTTACTGTAGACAGACCTTACTGACAAGGGTTCCCCTGACAGGGCTAAGCATCTGTACCTCAGGGTACTGCATTTCCTTGAGTGATAGTGGAAGAGCCATCTGGGAACCTTGTGTTTCTCCCATGTCCTCTGGGGTGCCTAGCTCAAGCCTAACCCTGCACCAGGGTGCCTAATGCATACCTGATGCTTAAACAAATCATCAGCCTCTGGGCTCACCTCTCTGGCTCCACCCTCTTTCTCAGGCACAGTGACAGGTCCTTCTCTCTAGTCCCCTTCCAGTTTTGTCAAGCTGTGTGACTGAGTGCAGAAGACGCACCTGCCTACATGTGGATGGTAAAACACTCTTGAGATCTCTTCCCAGCTTGTAGTGGAGTAGGCAGATGATTCCAAGGCCCCAGGGTAACTCAGAGTTACAAGATGGAAGGAAATCAGGTCCTTGAGATCCTATGGAGCACAGCCCTCTCGCCTCCTTTTCCCCACATACATACTGGGCTTAAGTTAAGAAAGAAATAAGCCTTTGTGGATGAAGCAGCAATTGATCATGAAACTCATGCCCCCTTTCCCCACTCTGGAGACATGGGACCTCTTTCAGCAAGAGAACACATGTCATCAAATGGATAGCAAACCCTGAGGTTTGGGGGGTTTTGTTACAGCATCTAGAGTTAGTAACCCTGAAATGTCTGGCAATACCAGGCACTCAATTAGCCACTCTAATGAAACAAACATGACAATCAGCACTTAAGACTTGAGCACAGCCTGGGAGAAAAGGATGCTTTGTTCTTTGGGTGAAGTATGGCTGATTCAGGATAAAGGAGCACACAGGTGATAGAGGGACCACCAAGAGGCCAGGAAATAGGAAGAACGCAGAGAAATAAAGATCTCACATTAGTAGAAAGTCAACCAGACAAGAGCATTTGCCTCCTACAGGAACCAGGAAAAAACTCAGTTTCTGCTACAATTCTCGCACAATCGAGAACAGGTCTGTGAAGCCCAGGTACCTGGGGTATTCCCACATACCAATCAATTCCACAGCACAGTCTCCAGCGGCACTAGCTGGGAGACCTCTACTCTAATCCAATTTGATCCTGACACCATCTGAAAATGGTGTCAGATCC